GCCCTCCTTTTTCTCTAATTTTGGTCTGCAAACTTAGGTTGCTTACCATCCAGAAGACAAGCTTATTGTTATTAGGTATGGTAACCTTTTTAAAGTTATTTTGAGTATTGTTAAGCAATGGATCATGTTTAAGAAGGATCTCTCTCTCTTTTTTTTTTTTTGCGGTATAGGGGATTGAACTCAGGATCTTGTGCTTGCCAGGCAAGCATTTATTCTACTGAGCTATCTCCCCGGCCCTCAATTTAGTCTGTGAAAGTAAACCCAAATTGTAAGGCTATCTTGATGGTAAAATATAGCTAATAAACATGCCAATTTATTTTCTAAGGTCTGGATCTTATTTTTAAACAAATATATTACCCAGCTTCCCCTAGTTTGATGGCTGTGTAGCAGAATTGATATTTCAGTTCTGTTTTTGTTTCTTTCTGCTGAAATTCATGAAATCTGAAATCTGAAAATTGAAATCTCAGTTCAGACAAAAAACGTACCTGATTTTAAGGAACAGTGCCCTGATGTTGCAACATTTTTTTTAGGTGGTTTGGGAACTTTCCACGCCCTGGTGAACACCGCTGTGCATGTAGTCATGTACACCTACTATGGGCTGTGTGCTATGGGACCCTCCTACCAGAAGTATCTGTGGTGGAAAAAACATCTGACATCTTTACAGCTTGTGAGTAATTAATTATCTGTAAAACAAGACATGAAACTAGAGTTGTTTTCGCTATGCATTAAGAAACCACCTGGAGCCAGGGAACTAGATCAGTAGTCTAAGCACGTGCCTGGCAATCACAAAGACCCAGGTTCGAGCCCTGATACCTCCTGCCGTGCTGGCCATTGAAACCAGGCGTGGTGGCACACAACTGTAATCCCAGCTCTGGGGAGGCTGAGGCAGGAGGATCATTATGAATCTGAGCTGGGTAGCAAAACCCTGTACCAAATAAGCAAATAAATAAATAAATAAATAAATAATTTTTTTTTAAAGAAACCACCTGCAGAACAAAGTTCATAAAATACAAAAGGTGGTAGTGTCGCTGTCCTTTCTACATTATGTGAGCTTTGTCAGGAACTGCACTGAAAACAAAGCGTGTGTGATAACTGCAGAGATTCAAGCATTAAATTAGTCTTCAGGCCATCTGTATGGTATTTAACACATTTATTTAAAAATATGGGATAGGGTAGCTTAGTGGTAGGTTCCTTGATATTCTCTCTCTCTCTTAGCACATATATATATAATTTATGTATATAAAGCATATATATATAATTTAGTTAAACATGTCTAAATATAAACTACCATCTATGTGATGAAAATAACCTCAAAGCTGCAATGACTGACAGACATAGTACTAAATTAGAAGCAAGAATTTCTGGGCTGGAGTAGAGGGCTCACCTTGCAGGCAGGAGCTCTCAGTTTGATGCCCAGTGGTAGCCAAAAAAAAAAAGAAAAGAAAAAAAAGTTAGCAATTCCATATTCTGGTTCTAAATTGCCTCGAAAAAAATCTTTGTTCTTCTAATCAGTAAAAACGATGACAAGCATTAAAGGTATAAAATGGTATATGAATGTATATGTGTTATATGAGTTTGAATATTACTTTCCTGTAAAAGAAAGTTTGAAATAATAGAACTATTTGGTTTAATCCTAATGCACACATGGTCTATGATTTCTTTAAAAGAATATCGAGGTAGCAGATGCTGATTTACTTTGAATTTTATTGTTTTATTAAAAGGAGAATTCTCTCACCCTCATGTTTCCAGATTTGCATTCTCTAATAAACTGGGTTCATATTCTGCCAGTGGTACCCTGGGAAAAAA